GAAGGCATTCATAATGCTTTCCTATGGACGCTTGTGTGTTCTCACTGTGATTTTCACAGTGAGAATCACGCAAGCGCTTCTAGCGGCTGTCAATGAGACAGCCACTAGAGGATTTGAGGGCTGGATTAACCCATTTATAAACATAGCAGTTTCTCTGAAACTGCTATATTTATAAAAAAAAATGGGTTAACCCTAGCTGGACCTGGCACCCAGACCACTTCATTAAGCTGAAGTGTTCTGGGTGCCTAGAGTGGTCCTTTAACATGGCAGATCATATGGGTGGGGCGGCAAACTTTACTTTTGCCTAGGGCGGCAAAAATCCTTGCACTGGCCCTGCAGACATTGCATCCCTGTGGGCAGACTCGGGGGGGGCAGCACTTTGGGCGGACTCGGGTGCAGGCACCGGGGGGCCCAGACCTTGAGCTGTGTCAGGAGCCCCAAAATTTCTGACGGCAGCCCTGGTCACTGCCACCAGGAATCATGGTCAGAGACAATTGGAACTTCCCTCTTCTCCCCCCAATATCACGATCATGTGACCTTATATTCGAACATGTGACTCTGATCTAGGCTATATCTTTTTCCGTATCTTTTTGCTTTTGTGGTTTCCCTTGTACACTATTATCTATTTTCCTTTATGAGGAGATCTATATTTGTTTTAATGGACATATGCTGCGTCATTGCTGAAATTAAAAGTACTGCCTGTTGGATCATGTGAACTGATACTGTGACAATATGGGAAATATTGATGTTTTTAAATATTTTTCCCTAAAGCATTGTATTATATTTAGATGTTCTATGATATGTACATGTTTAATATGATATTTGTGTAAGTAATTTATGTATTTTACTTTATGTGATGTCTTAAAAATGCAACTATTGTTTTGCACACTGCCTTCATTTTTTTGCACATGGCATCCTAATTACTTGTCTATCTAAATTAGTTCACTTGTATTGGAGAAACAATGCACCAGCCGTCTAGCCATCACTATTTAGCCATTGTCAAAGTCACCCAGATCTTTTTGCTTGCCCATTTTTCCTGCTTCAAAACATATGAACTTCAAGAACTGACTGTTCACTTGATGTCTAATATATTCTACCCCTTGACAGATAATGACAAAATCAAAGTTACTCACTTCACCTGTCAGTGGTTTTAATGTTGTGGCAGATAAGTGGCTATGCATATTTATTGAATACACAACTGTGCACACAAGTAAAGAGATAGAAAGACTTGACACTGTTTGGAGACTTAGATCTCCTTTAGATTCGGATAATACTACATACATAGAGTTATTCTTCTTGAATAGTTG